CATTTGTGCTGCCTGGAGTGCTGTGGTTTGTGTGGTGGTGTGTGTGTGTGTGTGTGTGTGTGTGTGTGTGTGTGGGTGTGTGTGTGGTGTGGTATGTGTGTGTGTGTTGTGTGTGTGTGTGTTGTGTGTGTGTGTGTGTGTGTGTGTGTGTGTGTGTGTGCGTGTGTGTGTGCGCGCGTGCGTGCGTGTGTGTTCGTGCGTGCGTGCGTGCGTGCGCGCGTGTGTGTATGTATATGTATATGTGTGTGTGTGTGTGTGTGTGTGTGTGTGTGTGTGTGTGTGTGTGTGTGTGTGTGTGTGTGTGTGTGTGTTTATGTGTGCACTATAAACAAACCAGGTTTATCACTATTCCGCTTACGAAGAATACAGGCCTACGTTTAGACTTTTAGATACCCGCCCTTCCGCTCATAAAGTTGTCCGACGCACGTGGCTTCATCTTTATTTAGTGATCGCAGTGAAGCCGTGCGCTCGGCAAGCTTGCAACGCCCTGCTCGTAGAACGCCGACGACGACTATAACGATGACTATGACTATGACGATGACGATGACGACAATCGCGTGCGCGCGCAGATGCCTGACATCTCATTGCGTCACCGTTTAGGACGAGACGAGCTCTAAAGACGAGCGCGTGCGCACGGCAACGTGCACACACTTACACACACACACACACACACATCCATGCAGCCTCCTACTGTGCAGTCGACTCCGCACTAATACATAACACGCATCTGCGACGAGCTGCTTACGTGCGCGTGTCGTGATGTCCAATCACGTGACCGAAGCATCGCGTCGCGACACCGCTGTTCGAGTGCATGGCGACATCAAGGTATTTAGTAATACCTGGGCGTCAATGCCACGGTGGCCTCAGCTCCGTCGACACTGCCCGATAGAACAGTGAATCTATATATGTATGTGAATGTATACACATATATAAATATATACGCATATTCGTTTATCTAAAGTGTTATGATGCGCACATGGCATTGGAACGCGAGCCGCGGTTAGTTGCAAGTATGTTCGTGACAGTTTCGTAGGTGGATTTCGTATAGCGATTTTGATGCGGAAGGATTGTTCTACGTTTTTTGTCATCGTCGCATCAAATAATCGCGACTCGATTTTGCCGCCGATGAAGCTCTAGTCGTTGACATTTGCACTCCGGTCGACATTCGCACGCCGGAGAAAACGTTTGCACGGCGTTACTGCAGACGATTGACGGCCGACTGATCTATTCACGCTGCCGATCGCCTGTGGGGGCATCCGTCATCTGTCGCCAAACTTTTCAACGAGCGCCTCACCTTCATCATCATCATCGCATCGCGGTGACTACAAGGTGAGTCTTAGATATAACGATAACAGGTGTGACCGCGTGTCGGTATCAGGTACGTAGGATTGCGAATAAAAAATTTCTCTGTCGTTGTCGGGATAACGTTTGATGTCGCCCGCCGAGCCGTGATGTGCTTGTAATTCAGGAGTGAATCATATACGCTCTTAAACTGCAGGCTTTAGCGCAAACCTTCTCATGCATTAGACTCTGAATCGCTAGATTGTGTTTAATTCATGGAGTGGGGGAACAATCACAGACAAAGCTAGTTAAATGTTTAAGGTTAACTTTACTAAGGTCATATTTTTTATAGAATCACAAAGATACACCCTTTGACTGACAAAGATAGACCTGTGCTAGTGAATGTGTAATTTCCTTTTACGTGGCGTGTCACACGTCTCTATTTTTTACGTCGGATGTGATAAATAATAGCAAGGCTATAGGCATAAACGATGTGGTTGGGTTGAATGCGATTTCCTGCCGTTTGACCATTAACACCACTACACTATTTCACGCGTGTCTTAATTGTCTCCTGTCAGAATATAAATCGGACGCTCAATAATGGCTGCCCATAGTGCAGATTGACTTTTACGAAGCGTTTCTTACTGATGCAGATAAAATTTTAACATAAAGAACGAATAAAGAAAGACATAATAACGATATTTTGTCATTCACGCGGCGATTTACAATCCTTGGTAATGTTTTTTGCGTCGTTCTCGGCGACCGCGTTGTCATAGCACGTCAGCTAGCGATTTTTATTCTAGCACGCTGGACGTCGGCAATATTTTTCGTTGGCGATATTTTGTCGCGCCCACTTAAATCGCACGGTACCGCACACCTTTCGATTCACCGAAGATTTTCGTTAGATATACGCCGACATTAGGAAAATATCGATGCCGGATAAAGGTTCATCTCATAAAGCTGGTCGCTGTAATCAGACTGAGTATGGTCGCAAGCTAGTATAGCAATCGGCTTAACTGGAGGAGCCAAATACTCCGGGTCATAATCATGGCTACCAGTCTCGACATGCTAATAAGCTCACACACTGCAGCAATCTTTGCCGCACGCGCGTCGTGTTTGCGGGCTTGCAAAGCGTGCCGCAGAGCGTAGTTAGTTATTATTCGCTGATTATATGCACAGTCGCGAGTGCGCTGCATTGCAATGGTGTGATAGTTATTGTGACTGCGATGATGCAATTAAGCGAACAGAGTACCGCTTTCAAGTGAAATTGGTGCGCATAAAAATGCTAATTCTACGAATGCAAACGCACACGCAACTACTACTTCGAACTATAGAGGCACGCCGAACCCACATAGAGCTTCACGAATGTAAATAAACACCTCTAATTGCGAACTGGGACAGTTTGGAAATTGTGGCGAAATACAGTCTGACGTTGGAGCCTGGCAGCAGCACGAATAAATCGACATTGGAGAGTTCATGGTGTTTATTGTTGTAGTCGCACACACGCCAGACAAGATCTGGCCCGCGAGCATATAGTTAAATTTTCCGTGTTTATACTAGGACCCAACAACCGCATACCACTCCGCGCTGCCCCTGATTAGCGCATCGTTCACTCGAGTAAAATATAGCGCGATTATAATTTCCCCTATGCGACTGCGGAGGGCGCTTATGTCCGGAATCAAATGAGTCGGGCAGTGAGTGTAACGCCGCATGTCCGGCCCGTGTGCACCTATATATATATCGCGTGTCGCCGCGAAGCCACGGACGCTGCACACGGCAAGAGCATGCCCGCTGTCCGGCTATTACGTGATGAGGCGCAGAGAAGCTCGCGTTAGTCGCACAACCGGTCGCCTATGTTTTACGCAGCGTCGGCTGCGTGCAGCGTTGCCCGCGCCGGGTGCGTGACTGCTCCTCTGCTGCCGCGCAGTGAGTCGGGCGTGTGTTGATGCCGCCTGACATCCTGCCGTAAACAGCCGCGTGCTCATCTCCGGTCTGAATGACGGAGGATTTCAGCTGCCGGACGACGTGGCGGGTGATGGGGTGGACGGAGGGGGTTCGATCTTCCGTTCGGTACGCATCGCTAGCAGGAAACGGCGGCAGCAGACGTAGATGCAGTAAGGAATTGATTTCGGACTTAGATCCGCTTTCGCGATGTCATTTCTGCAGCCGTTTCGCTTGCTGCCCGTGCAACATAGCGCCGATGATTGTATAATTGCGCACTGATGTCGCATGTGCGGTTTTAGCTCAGCCTCTCTCAGCCATTAGCCGATATTCGCTTTGAATTTCCCACGCATTGTTTTCGCTGTTATCAACGAGGGCCGGGAGCGTTACTGCGGAAAACGTTATTAGAATCCGATTGATGGTAGTTCCTACACCGTCGATAAGGTTATACCGTCCAAACCCTCGCTCATAAATTAAACAATACATCACAAACGCAGGCGGCTTCGATGCGTGTGCAGGTTTCGCACATCCGACCCCCGACCCCCCCCCCCCAAAAAAAAACGAAGCGTGCGGGTCCCGTTTGTGAACGAAGACGGTAGACGGGAGCGCGCATCGATGTCAACAACTCTGTACGAACAGCTGTATCTCGAACGCGACACCGATAATTACACAGAATCCGCCGCTGACCCGGTTATAACGTGAGACTATGATGATGAGAGAAATGCGAATCCGCGCGATTACGGGTTTTGTTCAGAATGTAGGCTGCCTTAAGATCTCGGATTTAGCCATCGGTGGTCATTACCAGACCTACACGATCGAGGTGTATACAATACAATCATACTCTACATGTATACGGGTGTAGCGTAGTGCCTATACAACACCTAACCGGCATGTATGATGCATGAATTCTCGTAAGTAATTATGTTTACCGTAATGTGCATTCAACACATGTAAGAAGTAGGTTGATAAATAAATAATTAAACAAATATTCTATATAATATATATATATATATATATATATATATATATATATTCAAACACGTTTCGTGAAAGTTCATTTTATACACGAATAAATTTTTAATTTAAAATGTTAATGAAAGACTGTAGATTGATTATATATGCACTGCCAACTGGACGTTGGAATGAGTCTAATAAATGACCATAACACATGTTGTTCGCTGGGAATACTGTATAGTTACTAACGGTTCCATCAATTATTTAGGCTCAATTGAAAATGATAATAGAAGTTTTCATTCATTATTAAAGCTTCGTTTATCGTACATATTGTGTTGTGTCTTAAGCCGGCGTTGCGATTGACTGCGACGCGACGCGACGCACTGCAACTCACTGCGACTGAGTGCTTACGGCGACGCGACTGACAGCGACTGCCTGCGACCAGTCGCAAACAGTCGCAGACGGCGCTTAAAGGGTCACGTTTATAATGTTAAGGCTCTAAGCTTATTAATAATTTCGATAATTTGATCCACTAGGTGTCAGAGAATGTCGGAAGGATTACTATAACATAATTCGCCTTTCTAAAAACAACACAGTGTAAGAGAGAGTAGGCCTAAACGTGCCCTAGAATCGGTGTGTTAATTATTAATCACCGCGTGCTACTACGGCTAGGTGTGTGCATGCAGTATGTACTGGCATAGATCTTTCGCATGTCTATATAGTTTTTCGGGGGTTTATAATATACCAATTACATCAACGACACTATAAGCGGCTTAAACCTTAGCAGCGTGAAGCGTTAGTTGTGTGTGTGTGTGTGTGTGTGTCTGTGTGTGTGTGTGTGTGTGTGTGTGTGTGTGTGTGTGTGTGTGTGTGTGTGTGTGTGTGTGTGTGTGTGTGTGTGTGTGTGTGTGTGT